AACTGTACGAACTAAACATGTATATATTGCGACACTTTACGTACTTTAGGAAGCCCGGTGTAATTTTTCGAAATCGGGCCAGATGGCTATAGTAGCGTGTGATTAGGCTATATACACAACAATTTACCATGTGTACATATTTTTATGGTTACCGAATTTTTAAGAAACGACGAACTCTTTAATTCACCCGAATTTAAGGGTGTCAAAGCAGCAGCGTAAGTAAAAATCCGTAAATTCATTATTAGTTACTCTCTCCTTAATATACTAATCTGTCTGTATTGGTTTAAATTAGATAAATAATATATAGAATTTCACTTATTCAACTTAACCTAACCTATACACATGGCTGCTTTAAAAGTAAAATTAACTCTTAAATTTGTATTTTGGGCATCACGAGAACAATATGGTAATATCGGATATGTGGAATTGAAACGCGAGGGTTCTTTGTGCACTGTGCAAGATAGAATTTTCCCAGAACACAAAGTATGAACGAAGGTATATTCTATCTACCTCATCATTAGCTTTTTGTTTGGAGCACTTATTGAGGTATTCTTGCATCCTGGCACAAAACACCACTTATTTTGTGATTCATACATGTCACTATTTTCCATTATGCAAGATAATAATAATAATAACCAATAAAATAATGATAATCACAATTACTTAAATAATAAAATAAAGCTTCGAAAACAGCAAAATAAACACGAGACACTTTGTTGATATGACCTGCTACGTCACAATTGGGATAGGCAACCGACGATACGGATTCGGCGTTTTTGGCAGAAAATATCTGATTTGAATTTAAATTCGCTTTAAAATTATTATAGAGAATTTTTTGCAAAAACATTATATCAGTGTAATGTTTGCAAGAACTACTTTCTATATATCAACATTTAAAAAAAGTGAAAACACCCTATTGCTAAACGAGTAAATTGAAATTTATTCGTTTAGCAATAGGGTGTAGCACTCTAAATAGTATGGGCAGAAACATCAGTTTGGGCAGAAACATCAGGTCGACAGTTTATTATTTTAAGACAATAAATAATTATCTAGATTTTTTAATTATACATTTGCGTGTTGAAACAATCAGCTATTTATTAGCAACAAATGAGAGAATAATAATTAATACAATTTTGTATTTATAATTGGATTCATTAATTGATTTAACCCATATAACATTTTTTTGTCTTATAGCTGGCGCTATTGCCATTAACTTCTTTCCTCATGCGAGTCAATTACGAATATTTTAGCCCCTAAATGAAATCGCCTACCCAGATTACTTCTCAGCGCTGTGCCTTGATTAAATCTTAGCAAAAACTCGTTAGTCGCCTCCATGGGATTCATTCCAAATATTTTAATTTACTGCGGAATATTCGTGTGTTTGAATAGCTAACGCAATTAGAACAATGGTTAAAAACATACTACGATTAATGTTTATTCGGTTGTGCGACCGTATTTTGGTGATACATTTTAAGTATTTTATTGCAAAGTTGAAATGTTGTTTTCAAATGCGTTCTTGAATATGAATTGGTTGTTTAAGAGTAAATTTAAACTCAGTTTGAACAGTTATAATTGTTTAAAATTCAGAATTTATTTTAATGCTTCTATTTCCCGTTCCTAAATGTTCGTAGTATTTAATATCTCTTAGATTGTGCCATTTTAAATCCATGGGTTGACAATATACAATAATATGTTCAGCAATATACAAATAAGTATTTTTACTATCTACAGAAAAAAAAAATTGAGTCATAATTTCGCATATTTACAACTATTGATAAACGGATGTCGGTGCCTGATGAGATTCATCTATGAACTCTAGTTTGCTGCAATTAAACATTTCCAATGTACTAGAATTTTCTATGATTCCTCCGCAAAATTATTCAGTTATTTTATTATGCTGGCAAGGCTTTTCCACTCTTTCATAGTGAAATGTTCCCTTGAAAATAAAGTGCCAGTTTCAACACTTAGAAGGGTTTGCTGCAGACACGCGACATGATATTCATCTCAACTGTATTTTAACTAACACCAAATAGGTGCCAATTTTCCACTTGCCAATTTCCGTTCCTTCCACCTAAATGTAAAACTGTAATTTTTAAGCATTAAACCAGGGCACAGACCGCAGGTTTGCGATAATCGGAAGTGACTTAATGTGAAAACTCATGAAAAATGCCGAGCGCAGTTTAATATACAAGTTCCGCGTTTTTCTTCCCATTATTTTTAGGGTGGCTTTTCCTGCCATATGTGAATTTACAATGCGATTGTAACATTTGAAATGGTAATTTCAACCAGTGTCGCCCTTTGCAGCTGACTGAAATTGAAGGCATATGTTTGGATAAATTTATAAACAATTTCAAATATATACGATGTTGATTATGCTTTTTTATTGCATGGATTGTTTGATGCAGCTTTGCGTCAGCTTCGATCAAGATTATTAAATTATTTAAGTAAAGATATTTAGACCGGTCTAACTGCGAATATTTTAGAAAGTACGATTATAATCTGTTTTTTTACTTATTTATTTGTGAAATATTGAATGCTGAACATTTACTGTATATTAATGAAACATTTCGTCATAAATTTATACAGCCGCCAGAACTTTATAGATAGGTTTTTGAGCAGTTAAACAACTTGAGAAACTGCAAAATTTTTACAATATATTACAATTTTCTTTGCTTCACAATGCTGATATGTAAATTTCCAATCATCAATTTTTCCATACTGTGTTTTTTTGCAGCATCGGCCAATGAAAATATAATTAATTGGCAATTACAGATCTCTTCGATTATGTTTATGATAGTGATTATTATGTTGATTTTTTATGAATATTTCTTTGCAAATGATACTGATGAACAGTTTAAATATGTAACGTTATGGTCCTGTAGTTTGACGGGACGAGTAATTTTTAATTCCCTTTCTAAATATAGGAAGTTATTGTAATGCTTAATCACCATTTTTTCTTAATTGGTTCCAATTTTCTCGAATATTATATGTCCTGGTTCCCGCATTTGTAACATTTTTGATTAATGCTTGTTGTCCATAAATAAAGAAATTTCAATTTGAAATATCTTATTTAAAAAAATAACCTTTATTAATAAAGAGATTTTTTTTTGTTTTAGAAAATATGCAGTGAAACATGCTGGCAATTGAAGAATGGTCAATTCGACTTTATTATTGCTATTTAAACGGGTTTATTGACAGTTTCTTTAGAAACTCATTTGGCCAGGCAAAATATTTGACATTATTTCGGATATTATACATTATTTAATCAAAGTTCAAGTTGATAACGGTTACATTTAATGATGGCTGGGATTTTCTTCTATCCTATTCATGTACTTATTTTAAATTTTTTGTGCATCCTCCATCCCTCGATTGAATCAAACGAATGCATGAAATCTAAAAGCAAACCGTTCTGCAATAATTTTTATTTTGAACTTTTCAACTTAGGCCAATACAAATAAACTAAATAAATCCGATTTATAGTCATAGAATGGTAGCACTTTTATAGTAATTTTCTGAATTTCTGAAACTGTGCTTTTTCTGCAGTTCTAAGCGGGATTCGCATTGATTAAAAAAATCCATGTATACGCCTTGACTCACGACAATTACAAATTTGTAGAATAGAACATACATATTTGTTAATGTATATCTTCGCACAATTGTGCAAAACTTCTATTTACATATATTTTAAACCGACGGAATAAACTGAAAGGCTTGGAAATAATCACTCCAAAAATCTATGTTGACTGAAACCGTACACCTGACTATACTTTATTTAATGATGTGTTTTTCCTTTTTATAAACTTGGAAATCTGGCCTTGTTCCATAAATCTCAGAGTTATATGGACCTTGTTTGAATATGAGATATCTTGTAAGTCACAAACTCATTGATTCAGAATAATGTTGATCTAGTTATTTTAGTTGTTTATGGTTAGGGAACTATTTAGTTTATGATTAGAAATAAGAATCGTATTCATTTTAGATATTTTAAGATTATAATAACTGTTACTTCTTATGTTAATTTTCATTAAGTATGGATTAGTTTTACAGCAAAATTTTGTATTGGCGGTAGTTTTTATAGGTGAAATACATCTGGTCAATTTTTTTTTTTAATTTTTACTCAAAATCATTTTTAGTTTATATTCAATTGTTCAGAAATATTTTTTAATGCTACAAGATAAAAAATATTTTTTTTCTTCACTTCAAGTGTTGTCAGACATTGTTGTACTTGGACAGTCCAGCTTCGAATGATCAGCACCCGTTTTTTCCGTTCTATTTTTTTCTGTTTTTTTTATCTTAAAGGAATACAAAGTTTATACTACATAGTTATTATATATTTTCTTTCCTGGGTTTCAGTCCAAATGTGAAATAGAAATTTTCATATCATTTATTTCATTTAAACGCTTTTTGTGCTTCGACTAGAAAAAAGCGCCATCAATTTACTATTAAAATCAAAATTACAATTAAAATAAGTTGTACAAAAACTATAATTTGCAAAGCGTTAAAACATTCATTAGTTCTTAAGAAAAAAAAAATATTTGGGAGAACAAAACATTTGAAAAACTTACCCCATAATTGGGAAACATTAGATTCTTTTAGGACTTGGCTGTTTTGAAACCTCATATTTGTTTGAATTATTGTCTACAGTTTACAAATACATACACACCATTCTCGCACATGTAGACAATAACTCAAACAAATACGAGATTTCAAGAAGTTTTTCAAATGTTTTGCTCTCCCAAAAAATTTTTTTTCCTTAAAAACTAATGAATGTTTTAACGCTTTGCAAATTATAGTTTTTATACAACATATTTTAATAGTTGTAATTTCCAAAATTTTTAAGTAGGGTTTCATGATTGAATTTCTTGAAAATACGTTTATTTAGAAAACCATCATATGCATTATAGCGTAATGTTTTGCTTCGAGATCTAGCGAATTCTGTTTCATGCAAACTTAGTCGCAATATTAGCACATTGTTGATAATGACGAGTTTTGGACTTTTATTGATACATTTCAATTCAATTTGTAATTATTATTAATTGTTCTGCAATTCTGTTTTTAGATCTTTTCCACCAATATTCACAAGTTTTCAGCTTTTCCTTGATCGAAGTTGCCTGCAAGAACCTTTATAATTGCAAGTACTGATTGATGGATTTTTCTGAGACAGTCGGTGACTTAATTTAAGTTTTTTTTATTTCTGAAATTGTTCGAGTTGTGACTAGTGAAACATGAGGTCCAAGTTTCTGCAATTGACGCTCTAAAAACCGGCAGTTTTTAACGCCAATTCCACGAAAAGCTTAATATTTCATTCATAGTATTCTTTTTATAGAACTAGAAATGAACGCAACTCGTTTTTTTTTATTTTCGTTGAAATATATTAACCTCGTAAATTTGAATATATTATCAAAAGTTTATTCAAAATATTATTATAGTCTTTAGCAGATCCCAATTCTAAAGCGATTATTCCAGGATTCTTGTTGATATTGAGAAAAGCTACATCTGCAGTTGGGTCTTTGATGATTACTTATAGGAAAATGGATTTCATTACTTTCTTATCCTAAAATATTTAGCAATTGCAGGATTCTTGTTGATATGAATAACCACTTAGTTGCGTTATTGATCAGTTACCAAGAAGGGGCTTTCATGACCTATTTAATTTCTTATGAGTTTTTGCTAACTGGGCCTCCTTTCGATCGTTTGGTGGTTCCTTAATAGTCTGCAGCTGATTCCTTTAATGGTGGTGTCGATTCTTTTAAACTGTGAATCCATACGACCGAAGCAGTTAAGTTGGGTTCTTAAGAGGATTTTGTATTTATTTTTTTTACTCAATGATGATTTCTAAAATTCGCAACTAATCGGAAATATCGTGGGTGTAAATTCATATATTTCCGGTATCTCTCGTTAAATAAATCCCATTTTTAAATCATTATTTAGAATTCGATCTCGAAGCAATTTTATCTCCACCCCTACCTATTTTAAGCGTCAAAAATGGCATTCACCGTCACCTCATCTTAAATCCGCATTTCCTTCGTAATATGCCATCCTCATTTTTTCCATTTTTTTCCGGCGAATGATTTACATAACTGCTCCCGTCATTCCGATTTGTATGTGTAAGACGGGCAGGCATATTATTCTCGACTTTGAAGCCGTTCTTTCCAACTTATTTGCAGGTAAAATCAGAAAAGACGTTCTTTCGTTCGAGCTTGCCAAGGTTAATAACGAATTTGATTCGATTAGTCGATGTTACGAATCTGGAATAGTCGATTTTATGGTTAATCCTATCTACGTGGTTTAAATTAGAAATACCTTAAATAACAGAAGTCAAGCTTTTAGTCTTCTTATTTTTCACGTTGATGCCATCTTAGTAACTGTTTGAAGCCAAAATTAATCCAGAACATGGAGCAAACAATAGTTAACTTAAAAAATTTTTGAGGCGAAATACCCAAAAAGAAGTTTGTAAAAAATGAATCCGCCTCAACAATATAGAACTTATCAACAATAGTTAAGTTATAAAATAACATCAGGAACATTCACAAATTTTAGTAATCGGGGTAAATGTGAATATTTCGTTTCCATTTTCTCACATTTTGCAGTTAGTGTTGTCGATGAGCACATTCAAATCTGTTGTTAGTATGAGACTTTAAATTAAAATTATTTACTTCACCTTCAAAGGAAATCAGCCCCCAATTGTACTTATATTTTTAAAGTGCTATGGCTATCTGTTAGTTTGATGAAGTTATAGACTGTGTCAACACAAAATTATAGTAAGTATAAATCATGCAAAGTTGGCTAATCAGAGAAATGGTTAAAATGCTGATCAAGTGGCAAAGAATACGATCATATCTCTGTTTCAGAAAAGCTCTAAGTTTCCATCAGTGTTTTTCCGTTATTAGTATTAAAGCGCGAAAACATTAGAATACTTTTTGTTATAACTGTGCTTCATCATGAAGACCCTCCTAATCATTTTTTTATAATCGTCTTCAACACATCCCCGTTCGTTTATGAGCAAATTTTTTAGTTTTGTTTCATTCTAAATTCGCCGGTGTATAACAGTTTAAGATTTACTTAAGCGTAGACCCGACTTTTTATAATTATTTACTAGAAAATGGTAAAAACGGACGTGCTCTATTTTGCATGGTTTTTAAGCAATATAACATTTTTTATGTTAAATTGGTTTTTGGTCTGGTGCCGAGTTCAAAGTTCATTGTATAGTTAAGATCTTACGTTAATTTTTTTTAGTATCTCATGATTTCTAATGTTGGTGGCACAACATTAATATTTGCCCCGGCTAGTTAGACGAACTGTGGTTACCCAATTACCCAGGGTAAGAGCCTCAATTGATTTCTTCCTCTACTTAATTTAATAAAATTATTTATTTTTTTATTAATACAAAAATACTTAATAGGTAATAACCTAATAATAGAAATCAATATAATAAAGTATTAAAGTGCCTTTACCTTATTCGCAGTCTTCTTAAAAAAATAGATGGTTTATGTTTATAGAGGGTGAATCAAAATTGGCCTCATTCCTCTGGAGGTGTTGTCTGGCTGTGTTTTAGGAATACAGAAAAAAATAAAACTAATGGGTTTTTCGGGTTTTTAGGCCGTCGTTCGGTAGAATTTCTTCTTGACGTTTCGCAAGAACGAGTGGCTTGCATCTTCACAAGTTCAAGCTTTACTTCAAGTTTTATAATTATATAATTTTAAGTAAAAAATGACAGATGCATCCACTCGAATAACTATTCATTTCTCCCATAAGGGAATACCTACGTGCTACTTAATTTGAGTCGCATTTTGATCACTATTAATACAAAGTGTTAAAAAAATAAAATTGGGAAAACTGTCGAAAATCAATTTTCAGTCAACCACTTCCAATCGACCATTTCTTATAATTTTAAGTTCTTCAGTATTAAAAATAAGAGCAAGTTTATATAAGGGTGTCTATTCTAAAAGCGTTTAGTTTTCGAAATATTGCAAATTTAATGTTTTCACATGGTTATTTTGCCGCAACTTTTTATAAATGCAGTCACTCTCAGTTTCCAAGACGAAAGTGGCAATTAATGAGCCAACTTCATTCATATTTGGATTTAGAGTCTCCCAAAATTCCTCAAATTGACTTTGTGCATGCGTGAATTTCAACAAACTTCTGTCTGTTCTGTGAACTGTCTGTTCTGTGAAAATTCTGTCATTTATTCTCAATCTCATTGTTTAAATTAATAAAGGTAATGTTAATTAATAATTTTGATGTAAATTTA